GGCGAGCGGTCCGGGGATCAAATCCTGGGTCGTGAGTCGCCCGGGCCAACCAAGCCTTCCATCCCTCCGGGGTCGGTTAATTGGTACCAGACTTGTCTGGGAGGATAAAAACACTGACTTGAACATCGGCTGGCCCCCGCAAGTCATTGTATAGGCCACATCGCATTCAAATGCCACTGCGAATGTACAAATGGAAGTAGAATGCGTGCCGCATCCCAAAAAGGGATTGATCAACGGCAAATGCTTTATCCTTTTATCCTTTTTTGTCTGTACTTCTTCCTTCAGATGTTTTCGAGAGATATGAATGTTCGGCTATCGGTCGTGTATGCAGAGATTTGGTTAGATGTTCAACGAGTGGACCTTTTTGAAGACATCGAACGGGACCATGAGTGGGGTCGTTGACTATTCAACGGGGCATATTTACAATATTGGTAAGCAGCTAGCATAAAATATAATATTTAGATTCTCCCAGTAGCTATTTGAAGATACTGAAAAGAAGAGTGGAAGTAAAATTATTACTCTGACTTGTTCCAGCCAAAGACGCAAGTGTTCTATTCACCGGTGGCTCATTTGCAAATGGTGAAGCAGTGAACGCAGTTTTTCGCAGTATCTTGTACAGCAAGGTCTACTACAATAGTGAAGGTAATACTTATTTCCAGTTCAAGATGTCCCCATTTTCTCCCCCGTTTTCTTTGAGATTTTTACGGGCGCACTGTCAGTTTCCCTCAAATTCACGTCACCTTAAAAATATCAGGCACTCACTACTTGCCGAAACAGCCTGGCCTGGGCCTAAGCTCACCGTAGCTTTTAGCCATAAACCAGTGTGTAAGCGTAAAGCCTGCAGCTGAGCCTGGAAAGCCCAGCAGAGCCTCCAAGCTAACAGTGGTCGCACTCTTCTGGTGACTTGACCTAGAAAGAAAAACTGAACGTCTTCTCATTTTCATGGTATAAAAGTGAGAATACCAAGGCAGCTAGAAAACTGCCAGTTTCTGTGATCTCCATGTTCTCTCCTCATAGAACCCTTCGCATGCTATTGTTCAGGGTTTTTCGCACCGAGGTTTTTGGGAGAGGATTTATTCACGGTCTGGGATCGATCCGATTATCTTTCTTTTAGTAGACCAACCATTACTAACTAAAGTGGCGTTTTTCTGCTTGCGCGGTAGCAGCCTGGCCTTTGAGGAATATGATCGGGTCGAAACGTTAGGCCGTAATCAAAGTTGTCACCTGAAAACCTCGTTGATAAGAAAAACGCTGTGCCTATTTTTGTGTTTGCTTCAAGAAATCTTGACTGATCTTGTTGTATTATATTTATTTAATTTATTATTTTTAATGCATCATAATGCGCCACCACTTCGCTGCTCGTTGAGGAATACCCACATAGGAAAAGCAATGAGCCATATGTAGAGGTTATAACGATTCATAGGTGCTAAATTGAAATGGACTACCGAATTATACAAACGGATACATTTTGCACCTATTTATGAAACCTGGAAATCAATATCAGCCGAGGTAAAGTTCGCTAACAATTTAGTTCCTAATAAACATAAATCAAGCAAATCCTATGAAGTAGTAAGATGTCGGTGCAGATTTTAATTTAGTCGTATCTTGTGCTCTGTTTTCGTGTTTTTCTTCATAAAATTGCAAGGTATTCCTAAAGCAGGCTCATAAAATGGGAGATTGACCTTTTTGGTTTATGATACTTTTTGTATAAGTTCCATTCATTCCAGCTGTAAGAATTTGCTGGTAAGATTTGTTCAGAAGGTAAGGAAAAAGTGTGCCATGAACGCAGCAGCTGTCGCTTTTTCTGCTTTGATCGGTAGCGTGAGACCACTTGTGGCCAAAAAACATGATGCTTCTGTCCGAGGATTCTAGTTTTGCCAGAACCGTGAGGGGATATTCTCAATGTTAGCGTTTGAAAATTCGCTGACGAACCTTTTTCTTCAACCAAAGGACCAAGAACAAGGGTGAGGTGTGAGTTCAGGGGTCCTCGATGAGGACGAGGGCCGTTATTGTCGGGACCAACAGTGACATCGAGCAGATTGCCTTTCTATCTCTCTTTAGAGCGCCACGTTAAACTAAATTCTTCTATGTATAGTTCTCACTTTCTTCTACTGAACTAACACGAGGTTGTTTACAAACTTGATAGGCTAATGTTTCGGCGGGATTGCCTTTGTTGACTCTGAAAAGTCGATTTAATTCATGACAGTCCGACCAAACGTCGCCGCTACCTACAGAAGTTCAAAATCAACAAACATCAGGCAGCCGCAAGATGGACCACTCACCGTTACCAGTCCGGATCCTAGACCAGCCACAAGCCAGCAGTAGTACCAGCTGTAATCCGGACTCTTTTCAAATGAGAGTCACTTCTGGAAAGCAGACCTTATATAAGGCCTTAACTTCCTTTATGTGTAGTAATTCAGTGATCTGAATCGATCCAATAGAAGACGAGTGAACGAGTGAAGTGCAAATTTAGTCCGCTAATGGCTTTTCTTCCAATAATTTGGTCATCTTCGGAATTTTTCTCGTGTCCTTTATAATTCATTCTCTTGTCTCCGATTTCAATTTGCATATGTGACAATGCGCGTGCGAGAGTGAGGGGTAGGGTTAGTCGAATAAATGCATGCAATGAATTTGCATGCTTCAGTAGACAAGTGCCGAACAGCAGCGCTTGATCCGGACATGACTCGGAAATTATTCTGTTGTGAAACTAGAACAGGGTCAATCGTTATGGTAGACCGGAGAAATTGGAATCACAAGAGCTTCTTTTTCTACTAGAGGCCCTTTCCCATCCAACGTAGTTAGGCTTCACAAGATCCAACTCACGATACCATTCCATCTTCAGTCCGTCCATCAGCAGAGTGGAGAGGGTGGAAGAGGAGGGCGGATTACACTGTTTGAACGGCATCGGTGGGTCTCGCGAGGATATTGCAAACACATATCGCGTTCAAAAAGCCACTCAATTTCAAGAACTAGAATAAATACCTAGCCGGCAGAGGCTGGAAGTGCGTGAGTGACAAGGGGGCGCGATCACACGAGCGAGCGGCGATCCGGGGATCAAATCCTGGGTCGTGAGTCGCCCGGGCCAACCAAGCCTTCCATCCCTCCGGGGTCGGTTAATTGGTACCAGACTTGTCTGGGAGGATAAAAACACTGACTTGAACATCGGCTGGCCCGCAAGTCATTGTATAGGCCACATCGCATTCAAACGCCACTACGAATGTACAAATGGAAGTAGAATGCGTGCCGCATCCCAAAAGGGATTGATCAACGGCAAATGCTTTATCCTTTATCCTTTATACCTAGCACATTTCTCCAAAACAGGGATGATAAAACACCTGTCGCTTAGTCGTTTTTCATTTTGCATATTACTAGGGGAATTTGCAACGGAATACACACAAAGTGTGTATTTGCTCTACCGTTTTCCTCTTTTTTTTTTCCTTTTTCTAAGCTCTATAACCGTTTTCTATATTGAAAAACGTCATGTATAATCCGATCCATGTCTGGTCGATCCGATTTATGGAGAGAATTCGCTGACTCATTAGTCGACTCATTTAATGCCGTTTGACAGCGTAGGATTTGAGGCGCCATGCGTAATGCCGTCGCATGCGTGGATTTGGTGTTCGAGGCCATATGTTATTGCTATTAATTCTTGTCCCATAGGAATTTGACGGGGGGCATTAAATCGACAACGGCTGGGCTAGATTTGCCCGCACAGATTGATTTGTTTCTACAATTAGTGGACGAGCAGATTCCTCTGTATTCAAGCTTGAGGGAGTGTTCGAGAATTTTCTTTGAGCCTACAATATTAATAGCAATCGACAAAAGTGGCCTTATTAGAATTGCATTTAAATATGGAATAGAAGAAATGAAAATAGTAAACAATTGCGAAGCATCGAAAAACTCCTGTAACTATTGTGCCAGTCATAACGGTACAGAAATGATCATAGTAAATAAAAAGTGAAAAGTGACGCATCGCAATTCCGGGAGATTTCTTGTAGTAAGCGCAGGGGAGCGCAGGCCTCCAGGGAAATGAAAAAAGGCGTCACACACCTTGCGGTCACCACCTCCCTGCGAAGGTTATAATCCGTTTTAACAAAAAAGACGAGCGATTGCCATCACAATGCCCCTGTATATTGCGATAGCGGCGTAAAAGCTCTAAACTCCTACCATCTGTTTCCGTGAACCAAGTTAGGCGCAGGGCCTTATAAAGGTAAAACTTGGGACCGTTGGTCCAGTGAAATCCATTGTTTCCTTGAATGGTACAACTGGTCACATCGAAAGCCCGTGCCTCAAGAAGAATAAACTTTTGATCAGCTATCAACTGATAACTTTTACAGGCTGTAGACGCGTTCGGAGCGCAGTGGTCTGGTCAGATGTTGGCGGAATCACTGGGACATTTGTTCGGTCTCGAACATGACACCATGTCTTGTCAATGTGAAAGTGACTCAACGAAACAACGATGCATTATGACCGACAGGCCAGGGTGAGGATGTTGATTTTTGGAGGCATTTTTCAATCTTAAAGTCTCATTTTCAACGATTACTGTTTTCTTTGTTGCAGAATGCCCGGTGCTGCATTTTCTTGGCAATTTTCCAAGTGTTCAATTGCTCGAATGCATGGCGTTTGGCAATCTGGACATGTGCAGTGCTTGCTCAATAAACCGTTTCAAGTGAGTTTGGCTTCTCTTCAAGTAAACTAAATAATTAGAAGAGAAGAAAGGCTTGAAAACTCTCTCGTATTGATCACTATTTCTGGGTCGCGCCATGCCCTCATTTGTCACTCGGAAGACATTTGGGTGTATATTGCGCTCAAACACTAGCATGCGGAGTTGAGGTGCCAGCTAGTGTCCCACATTCTATCTCCCACTTTGAATTTTCACTTAGTCGTCTGTATCTGATAGGTCCGTTACCTACCTGGCTGAACCAGGAAGCATGCAAGTCTTTGTATAATCTAGAGTAAGTCTGCCGTTTATGAACAGGGCAGCAATTACGGGTTGGGCCTTTTGACCGGGGCCTGTTGGCGAGATAAATTGATCCTACTACAAATCAAAAGACTGTCCGACGACTAGCTTTTTTTCCTTTACTTATGCGGGATATCGGCCCTTCATACTGAATTCGTACCGTTTAGCCGTCACAACTGCGAGAATGTGGTAATGGAATCGTTGATGGCTCTGAAGAGTGCGACTGTGGAACTCGTGAGACGTGCACTGACCCATGCTGTGATCCGTTGACCTGTACTCTCCGAGCTCATGCTCAATGTGCAGCTCATCATCAGTGTTGTCATCGGTGTGAGGTAAGACCTTCTAGGAGCTCTCCAATCAAACTACTTTTTGATGTTGTAACTTTGACTTTCTTTCAAAAAAAACAGAGGCAGAAGCAGATGAATTGGAGAGCACGTCATTTTATGTCTGGTTTTCCCTTCTTTCTAGAGGGGAATCTTATTTATTTTATTTTATTTTATTTATTTATGCATTTATTTATGCACTAATGCGTGCTACAACAGGGCAGAAGGTGTTAGTTCGGTACAAGTATGTTTAGACGAAAAACAAACAAACAAACAATCGCTAAACTCGTATAACAGCTGAAAAAAAGGAAAGCAAAAAAGGAATCGCGCTCCAGCATCCTTTAATATTAGGCTGTGGAAAGTTCTGCTTAGCCATCCAATTATTCTATGGTTCAACCTATGCCCATTTCAGTTACGAAAGTCGGGCGAGGTGTGTAGAAGTGCTCGTTCGGCGTGTGGGTGACGTCCCGGAGACTGTGTGATGGGAAGTCAGGCGATTGTCCCTCCAGACGGACATCTCATGGATGGGACCGCATGTGGGCGAGCTGGTCAGTGCTGGCGTGGCAACTGCAGCGATCCTCATCAACAATGTCAGGAGATCTGGGGCGAAGGTGAGATTTATTTCTTTATTATTTCATTTTTTTCCTTTCTACTACTTTCTCCCAGAGAATATGTCGTAATGCTTCCCATCTTGGCGTACGTACGAATTATTTTTTTTAATAATCCAATTTCTTTTCAAGTAGCGGTCGTCTTTAAGGTCTTTTTAAGGGAGCTTTAATAACAAAAGAGAGAAGTTCCCGTAACTAATTACGATTCTGTTAAGGTGCTCGAGTTGCTGAACAGGAATGTTTCAAACAAAACACTCGTGGGCACGAATACGCCAATTGTGGCTCCATTGATGGCACAGGTACCTACCGGTCGTGTCAACCGGAGCATATCCGGTGCGGCACACTTGCAGTGCCAAGATGGAGCCTCAACACCGTCTCAGTCCGCCTTGAGAGCGTTCACCTTCCAGTTTCAGCAGGATGACAAACAGGTGGGGAAGAAACAATTATGTTGTTGAAACTGGTTCTGATAAATAATAGTTTAATTATTCCATTGTGCATTTCGATTTGACCGTATAGGGTATTCCAAAATTAGCTAATTCTGGAATAATTCCCACTAAAAGTAAGGTGAGCTAGTGCTCTAGAGGAAAGCTGTGCCCACTTCATGACTCACAGGTTCGCGGCAGGGTACTGGAGGTTCATACTGCGCTCACGACTGCGTGCACCACCCGTGACTGTGCCTTGAAATTGAGACGTGTCTGCGTTCTGCTAGTCCCTATGCTCTCTAGTTACTTATTCGTCTGATTCCTCGCGCGGCGCCAAGTGTTCCTTCGCAGTAAGCTCGTACAGGGCGGAAAATGAATGGCAAAAGGAAGGGGATTGGCACGGCAATTTTGGTAGTTTCTTTTGCTTCTTCCTTCTATGAAGGGCCACTTACCACTAGCCCATCTTATTTCATAGAACAGTATTACCTTTTGTTTGGCATTCATCCCGTTCAATTTCAGGTACAATGCAAGTCCATCGCTGACGAGAACGTGGGACTTGTCAAGGATGGCTCCAGCTGTGGTCCTGGTCGACTGTGTGTTGCCGGTTCCTGCGTGGAAATGTCTTCTGTAAGGACTCTCGAATAATTTCATTGACTTTTTACGTCGGGGTTTTTATGCTTGATTTTCTAGCAAATTTAGTTCAATTCATTCTCATTGCAGGTTTCCACAGCAGTAACTTGCCCCTCCAACAATCATGCCCTACAGTGTTCGGGTCATGGCGATTGTACCACCACAGCTGTGAGTTGAATGCCAATTGCTATTAATTTTCTTTTTATTGGCTAGTAAAAGTACTAACAATGACTCTTTTGGTACAGCAAATTTGAGCCACATATTGCACTGCTTAAGCTGGCCTATAGCTTTGCCCAAGGGATACGATCCTCTCTGGGGTTATTCCAGTGTATGTCGATCATGACATCTCCGCTTCTTCTACCCGCACCGGAACTTCTTTCCCCTGCGAGAATTAAGAGTACTGTAGGTAAGAGTTGGATGTTTCCTCCTCAAGCTGCCCCATCCCCCTGATTCAAGTAGGACCTCTTTTTTCACAACAGTGATGTCTGTTTGAAGTAAAGTGAATCAAAAAGTGAAGCCTTGTTTTTTTCTTAGATTCCAACTAGCTTACAAAAAAACAACCACTGAGAAGTCATTTTCTTGTCAAAATACTGAGTGGACACCAAATATAAGAGTGTAGGCTAAAAATTGCAATGTTTATGTCCGTGTTCGCACCCGTAGTAGCTGTTAAATGGAAATAAATATATACGACATTTTTTATGGTTCGAAAAAATGAGTTTCAGATTTGTGTCTGTTTCGCTGGTTGGACAGGATTGGCGTGTGATACTCGCTCGAATACCACACTAGGGAAAAATCGTAGCCAACCACGTACTATTGTGAATGTTGTTCCATCAATAGCTGTAGGAAAAACTTTGGATACAGCCACTCTGCTTGGGATTCTGTTGATCGTAAGTTTTCAGAAAAATAGAAGGGATTTTTTTACTTTGATTCTTTAACATCGTTGTTCATTGTGACTCGAGTACTGCATCGTTTCATGAGAAACTTAAAGGCGCAGGACACAATATCCGTCGAACGTGTCAAGCCATGTAAAAGGTGTGTCGGTACTAAAATGTATCACACGGGGAAAAGATTACTCAGAAACAACTGTACTGGGCTTTAAACGGCGCACTATTGAGAGCAGGGGCACGACATTCTCGCCCCTGGCTGCGATCGTCTGTGTACTGTCCCGTCCCTTCGTCGCCTGAGTCTCTCATTCGAACACACTCTTTCGCTGTATGCTCGTATACAGCGCTCCAAGTCAACTGTAAAAAGGATTGTTTGAGGCGTTTTAGGCGGTTTGTTTCGCTTTCTCTCCATTTACAGATCAGACACTACCTTCAGTTTCATATTTGAACCCCATTACCCACATCCTTTTTATATCAGAGCGTGTCTTTAAGCATCCCTTCATTACTGCAGTCAAGGATCGATACCTATTTAAATACTCATCCCCAGAAGTTACATGAATTTAGGGCTGTGTTAAGGGTTGCCATGGTCTCATTATAAAGTGGTTTTACTTCAAGGTGGGTGTTGTTCTACTGCTGCTACTAGTTTGCCTCCTGTTCTGCTATCGACGTCGGTCAATAGTGGAGATTCCCACGCCTTCGGATGAGAAGCTCGACGAGAGTATACCAGATAGGACCCAACGGTCGATAAAGTTTGGAAGCATGCCAAGCTGGAGGTACGTTCCCATTAGAACACGACCCAGGTCATGGATGTCAGATACGATTTTCAGGGATGAAAAACGAAAACGAAAGAGCAATAAACACGTCTATGGTGCACTAAATCGTATTACAGAGGCTGACGAAAGGGATTCTGCAAGTGTGAAGTAAGTTATTGGAATGGCTATCGCTGAACTCACCGATCTTCTTCAATCCACATTCTTTCACCTCCTTCTGGAGGTATGAGCTGAAATGCGATACTACGGTCGGGTTAGGGATCATGGTCAATCGCTGTGTCGGAAAAACTTACCTAAACCTGAAAAAAGGCGAACTCTTACGTTGAAAAACACTCCCCTGATTTTCATAGAGAAATATTTCTTCAGTCCAGGAAGTCTCCTCTCCTCCCTCTCCCTTCT